ATTTACTTCTTTGATTTCGGTTGCTTCCGAGATAATATAACTAACTGAAGAGTTTGGATGCATTTTGGTTGGCAATTTCTTTCTGCCTCAAACATTTGTGATAAACACTTGGATATTCCAAAATTTGAAGGTGATAGGAAAATTTTCGTGAAAATCATTTCTGTAGCTCTCATCATTCACTCCAAAGAAAAGGTCCTGAGGAGAATTATCTTTATCTTTTTCTCTTTATTGAAAAGGACTCCAGAACGAATTCCCTTGGAAGCTATAAGAAAATACATTAGATTACAAAAAATATACAAAAGCCACACTGAAAATAATGAAGACATTATAATCGAGTAGAATCAAATAAAACAATGTAAACATGGAATTGTACTCAAGCGTTCTGCGCGAAAAGCACTAAACCTGGTCAAAAACATGACCTACACGCACTCTCACAAAAAAAAAAAAATTATCCTTAAGGGGTAGCGGAACTGACCACAAAAAGAGGTTTACCAAAAACAAGTTTTCTTGGATTCTATGCAATGAGAATCAATGAAACTTTTTCCCCGTATTGAAAGTAGCGGAACGCATCGCTCTCTTCTCATACTTTTCTTATTTATGGAAAAAAAATTATTTAACGGCAAGGACCAGGGCAAGGCGGACGTCATTTTATTTGTAGGAATCTGCCAAGTCATGGTAGAAAAACCGATTTTTTGTAGATTTTTCATAGCCGATGGCTATTTTCATGAGAAAAGAGCGATCGAGTGAGGTCCAAGACAGAGATTTTGAGTACAAAAACGTACTTTTGTTGCGTAATTTTCGTAAAAACTTGTTTATGATGATTGGGTGGTATCCAGGAGGTAACATGTCCTTTACAGGGCACCAATTGTAAGAGGGAAGTACTTTTACGAGTCAGAAGATGATGTAGAATGTTTCCATACCATTATTATTTATTTATATCCATTTATTTATATTTAATGGGCTTTTGTACTTTTCACGTACAAAATCAAATAAACCACGGGAACCTGCAATACCAATAGGGGGGACCCCTAACCTCTACGTGCGACGGGTTCCGTTACCCCTTAATGTAAAGACATCTGGTTAAATATATTGTAGAAACATCTTCAAATACCCTATTTGGAGATATTTATCAATAATATTTGATTCCTAACATCCTTTGAAATTCAAGTACCTGCTGCATATGAATTTTCAATTTTGTGAATTTGAATTCAATTGAAGATCGAATCGTTCGTGCCATTTCAATAATGGCTTGATTGTTCAAACTTACTGTAAAAATTGAACATTACATTTAATTGAATTTTCAATAGATCGGAAATTCATAAAAACAGTCCCCTGAATTTCAAAATTTTCAATAATATCTATGGTCATATGGACCTAAGAATTGGAAACCATGAATGGCCATCAATCTTCTGATTCTTCAATATTAAAAGAATTTCCGACTTACATTGATTAAGGTTTAAATATACTGATCAAAATTAAAAAATAGTAAAATAATTTGTAATCCAACTTTCCAATTGATGGTGAATTAAATATATTTAATAATATGGAATTGTAATTTTTCTAGCAAATAAGTAATATTAAATTTCTGATATGGGATTTCCGATTAACTAAATAATCGTCAATCTTCCTAACAAAATTACTGATTAATATATATTAATAAATAATTCGCAATTGGAATATTTAAATTTATGTTTACTCCAATAATTAAAACTTGAGAGTGGTGTTAATAAATGGACTACTTAATAATTTAACGACAATTATAATTTATGAATATGGTTATCCCTGTTGGGAACCCTTTCGATACCGAATGGATCCGAATGAATCCACAACTACATGCTACCGGGTGTCTACAGGAAAATATTCAACCTTTTCCTTTAATAAAAAATCCAGTGTAACGTTTTTTGAAGCCAATCTATTCATCGTATTGTGTCATTAGATTTTTTACAAATTATGATAGCATGCATTAAAGATATTACGCTAATACTATATTATATTATATTCACTATCACTATATTATAATACATTATATTTTATAATACATATCGTCGCATTAAAATCAAAGGGGCGTAAGTGCCATTTCTCTGAGATTTTTTTTTCTCTTAATACCAAAGGGGCGTATGTTTTTTTTCCTTCGAAATGGAGTTTTCTCAACTTATGAAAGGTTTTTTGTGGACAAATTTCTGAAGTGGCAAATGGACGTAAGTCCGACTAGCAAGTACTGAAGGGGCGTATCTCCAGCACATATGCCTCTTTCTTTTTATAGTTTTTGTTTCTTTTCTAGCTCATATTGAGAATGAATAATTCCAAAGGGGCGTAACTCAGGCACATACGTCCCTTTGTTTTTGAAGCAATAATCACAGAGGGGCGTAACTCCAATATATATGTCTTTTCATTTGTTACTGTTCGTTCCTATTGATTCATCAAGTATAAACGGAATCACATGCACTACAGCCCTAATAATAAATAATATTTGATTCTACATTAACCTCCCCTCCCTCCCTCTCATCATGAATGTTCAAATTATTTCCCTTTGATTTTTTGCTTGAATGAAACAATTTCATGAGAAATATCAGTAACTAAACTAAAATTTTCTAAAATTTTCTTCTAAATTTATTCGATTTCATTCATTAATTTATTTCATTTTTTTAAATTATGACTGCGAATTTCAGGAAATTATCTGTATGAAATTTCGAGTCGTGACTGCTTTGAACACTTCGGAAGAAAATGAGACCATAAAGGAAGAAGAAAATAGTTAAAGCGTTTTATGTTGATATACCAATATAAAACTCATTATCGCGAGTAGACCTAAGATATAATGAGAGAGAGGCGTATGTGGGACTTACGCCCTTTTCGTTTTATTTCAACATGAAATGTGTCATCCGAAGTGCACAACACATAATGTAAAAAGGGCGTAAGTGTCATTTTTTGAATGAAATGAAACAGGCGTAAGTGTGGAGATACGCCCCTTTCCCGTTGAAATATAGCAATTACGCCTTTTTCCTAGAATTTTTTTTTTCCAATTTTTGGTCAGAAATTCCATGAAAAACCGAAAAAACAGGAATTCGGAACATACGCCCCTTTCACTTTTAAAATGGGTTTTTTGGCACTTACGCCCCTTTGATTTTAATGCGACGATATAGTACTCTATTATCTATTGTATATATAATATTGAATAGTATAGAATATAATATAATATAGAATTATTGTAATATTTTTAACGTATGCTATCATTATTTACTACAAATCTTAGAACACACTACGCTGAATGAATTGTCTTTAAAAAACGGTACACTGGATGTATTATATATAAAAAAAATACAATACATTCCTGAAACTTTTCCTTCGGAAAACTTGGTATTGACTTCAGAAATTTAATATAACACTATTCACTGCAATTGACGTATATTAAGCCCCATGGAGTAGGACATACGCGCGCAGAGCACGCGGACTAATCTAGTAATGAAAAAGATTTATTCAAAAAGTTAAATATCTCCGAAACTGCTCGGCCGGTTGCGCCCTTCCAAAATACCAACCTCCAGTATTATAAGAGCTATAATCATACCATAAATTTCCACTTGCTATCCATATTTTATCTCAAGTTATCGTACGTACACGGAGAGAAATATTCAACAAAAATTACGCATCTTTCCAGTAATTCCAGAGCGAAATGTGGTTGTAGAAAATTTTACGAAACTGTCACGGAATTATTCCAGAGCGTACCGTAATTGTTATCTGAATCTCCTGAAAATCTTAAAAAATTTAAGGACGAAAAAACGGGAATATCTCTGAAACTTGGTATGAGCAGCATCATATATTTTCATTGATCCAGATAGTGGCGCCCGAGACAAATAGTTAGAAAAAAAATTGAAATCTGTCAAGTAGTTCATGAGATATTTGAAGAAATATATTTACACAAAAGGTTGCATATCTCAGGAACCGCTCTCACGATTGCGCCCATCCAAAATACCAACCTTTAGTATTATACGAGCTAGAACCATACCAAATTTCGACTTGCTATGTCGTTTTTTTCTCAAATTATCGTGCGTACAAGATTTTTCATGAAAAACGGAATAACGGAAATATCTTCAAACTGTGTATTAAAGAGTTTATATATTTTTAATGACATACATAGAGCCCATCGAGTTGAGTATTTTGAAAAAAAATGTTTTGAAATCCTAGCAGTAGTTTTTGAGATATGGAGGAAAAACAAAATTTGAACAAGTTGTTATATCTCAGGAACTACTGGACTGATCGGGCTGAAACAGCCCCCCAAAGTTGACCTCAATAACAGTTACAATGAGCCAAAATTTCAGGTTTTTATCTATAAATTTCATCGTATTTGTGTCGAATTTTCCAAAAATTAACTATACAGACATGACCCTAAGAACATCATTTCTTCGCGTTTCATAACATTCTAGACCATTTGCAATCAAAATTAAAAAATTGAAAAATTGGTCAAAAACAAGGCTTCCATTCAGCAGCAAAACAATGTAAACAACAGAACATGCATTCATTCTTCTTTCATAATATTCCTCTGCCTCACCAACTGCAAACAATTCATCATAGATTCGCAATAAATATCTCACCATCACCACAAATTTATGCGTCTCACCTTCGAGTTCGCGCTCAAATAACCGCACAAGTAAGCTTGTCTTTCCCACAATCGAACGAAAAAAGAAACCGTCGATTGAAGTCAACACAATTTCGGATCGAGAAAAGTGTCAATGATTCCCCTCGGTGAAAAAAAATTCTCTACTGTTGCATTTTTATTTTTAATCGCGTCACTGGTTTATCACGGGTTTAAAATGATGGAGTACTTGAGTGGATGCGCCGTATGGCATTCATGGAGAATGCCTCGAAACTAGAGTGGATGGGTTTCAACTTTATCAGCGATATCAGTTTGAGAGCAGATGC